GGTGCTCAGTCTGGAGTCACAGGATGTGGATTTTCCTCCCCAGTTTGCCTCTCTCACCCTGGGTTTCTCCTCAGTCAGGCAAGTTCACATTGAGGTCCACCACTGCAGGTTTTGGGGCCCTAACGTGCAAGAAGCACCCAGCCCCAGATTCCATTCCTTCTGAGCACTAACACCTCCAGAGGCAGCTCAGAAATGCTCAGACCCACATCATGTCCCACTGGGAATGGAGGCCCTGGAGATGATGCTCCAGTGTGGAGAGCAGTGGGATTGTGTCTGCCCTGAACCCTTCTCCACGTGTTCCCACCAGAGATCAGTGCACAAAAAGGAGGAACAGCCCCCAAACACCCAGCTCAGGGTGGAGTCACGAGGCTCAGACTCAGATCACCACTCATGAGCCAGGCCATTCACAAGTGACATCTTTAGTCATCCCTCAGTGACTGATATCCCCCACAACCTGAATGGCCTTGGGAAAAGCAGATCCTACTAATGGCCTGGCCCCTTTGTCAGCAAGCAAAGAGTCAGGGCTCAATTTACATCCACATCAGACGTGTTGAAACTGCAAATAGGTCATCAGTCCCAGCTGGAGAGCCTGAAGAAGCACTCGTGGGTGGAGGACCCACTCAGGAGGCAGCCCAGGTCTGACTCTGCAGCCAGCTGGCTGGGGAAGCCAGGCAGGCCTGAGGAGATCTTCCCTTTCAAGAGCTCCCACTTGTTCTCTAAGCAGCTGTCCTCAGTTTAATCAGTAACTGAACAAGTGGGATGAGATGCTGCCTCAGCTGGAGCTGGGTTATGGATGTGTGTGATGGCAGGAGTCACCTCCCAGCTCTGCCAGCTCACACAAGAAATTATCACACCTGACCTTTCTCCAGCACGCTTCTAGAGCATGCCCTGGCCTCCTCAGAGGGCACAGAGAACCTCCAGCCTCTTCTCCTAAGGTGGAAAGTTCATCACTTTTATCAGCTGATGAACTGCAAGTGTAGATCTCAGCCGGGCCCCGCACCAGAGGAGCTGCTGGAGCTCCAAAGGGCTTTTCAAGAGAACAAAGCTGCTCTGATAACAGCAGCTTCAAGCCCAAACAGAGGCTCTTGCAGAGCAAATCACCCTCTCAGCAGTCTGTGCCTGGGGGCAGAAGGAGATGCAGGACACTCCCAGCATCAGCACTCCAGGAAGAGGGGAAAACACAGATTGGAGAAATAAAAACACTTTCACCCAGCAACTTCTCCCTCCCTGCCTCTATTCTCTCCCAGGTAAGGGCATCCAAAAGTCAGCTCAGAAAATCCTGGCCCAGCTAAGGCTGGCTGATTCCTCCTCCTCCTCCTCCAGATGTGTTCAGCCAGAGGCTGTGCCAGCCTGTGAAGGCTGACCTACCAATAAAAGGTAATCAAGGAAGATCAAATAGCACTGGAAAACTCCCAAAAAATGGTAATTGAAGAGGGATGGAGATACTGGAGCAGCATCAGTGGGAGTGGGAAAGGGCAGGAGAAATCCAAACAGCCACACCTGATGCAGCAGGCTCTGCAGAAAGGGAAAATCCCTTGTGTCCAGGCAATAACTGGGCTGGCACAGCCTGGCACAAAAAGATGCTTCAAGTGTGATCTTGATTAGCTCATGTGCTCCAGGCTGTGTTTGAAGGGAGCTGTGGCTAATCTTCTTTTGATTGCCTTAAAATCCAGCTGTGGGGGAAAGCCTGGCATGTGATCAGATATATTAATGGGTTAGGGGCAGCCTTGTCTCCTAAGCTGGTATTTGATTAAGAGGGAGAATAACCAACAGGCACTTCAAAAAGCTGCTGCTATTTTTGGCTGCTTCATTTGGAGCAGTTCCTGATGCTTGGATGTGCCCAGCAAACCCTTTGGGACCGATCCTTGCTATATCATTATTCATATTTTAAGGATGTGTGAGTACAGAGAAAAGAGATTCGCTTCCTCCTGAGAGGCTCAGATCAAAAGTCAAAATGTTTTCAATGAATGCACAAGACATAAATTCAGCTTCTGAGGGTTTCAGTCTCAATTTGTAAGAGCCCCGTGGCCTTAAGAGGAGCCCTCCCTACCCTACAGAGCTGGGAAATGGTGTTTAGGTAGCTACAAAGTAGATTCAGCAAGCAAGCTTTAGGCAAAAAAAGTCAGAAAACAATGTCTAGGGGGAATAAATTATTTTCTTCCCCCCTTCTAATTCATTATAATCATTTTCTTTTCCCTCCAATAATCTTAATAATGATCTGAAAAGCCATTTCCCTGCACAATGTTGTTCTGACCTTGTTTTCAGCCGGGTAATTGTGCAGTGAGTGGATAAATGCTTTCTCAGCTGAGAACAAGAGGAACCATTAAGCATCAAGCTCCTGACCTAAATTTACATTCAGGGCAGCTGGAGGAGCAAAGGACTGATGCCTGCACCCCTTATCAGCCTGAGGGACACCCTGTAGATGGCATCTTCCTCAGGGACACCCCAATGGCACAAGGAGATGCTGTTTGTCCCAAAGCAACCCAAGGAAGGTGTCCCTGCCCATACCAGGGGGTTGGAACGAGATGATATTCAAGGTCCCTTCCAAACCAAACCATTCCACGATTCCAATGCAAAACACAAAACCTGCTGCCCATCAGCTCCTCCTGCCCAAACCATTCCACGATTCCAGTGCAAAACACAAAACCTGCTGCCCCATTCCATGATTCCAATGCAAAACACAAAACCTGCTGCCCCATTCCATGATTCCAATGCAAAACACAAAACCTGCTGCCCGTCAGCTCCTCCTGCCCAAACCATTCCATGATTCTATGGCAAAACACAAAACCTGCTGCCCATCAGCTCCTCCTGCCTTGCTGATGCTTAGTGGCCAAAATTGAGCCATGTCCCCTTTTCCCAATTTTTTTTATTCCCCAGGAGGAAAGGGTGTCTGAAGGGAGATTCAGCTTCAATGATTCACAGTGTTTGGAAGCACAGGATCTTTAAGAAAAACAAACAGAAAACCAAACCATGTTTTTCCTTCCTTCTGTGCCAATGCCTTTAGAAAAGTTCTCTTACTTCAGGTGAAATCCAGTTCTTTCCTCCGTAACATTTTCTTGGAATGCATCAAAAACAGCAGCTGCCTTGCCCTGAGCCCAAATCAGAACAAAACAAAGATTTCCAGGCTCCTGAGTTACCCCTGGGTTTGTTTTGGCTGCAGCACCCCAGCTTCCAAGTCCTTGTGGCCATGTCAGGATGGGAGGAAAGGTGTTCACTTTGCCTCTGTTCCTGTCACACCAGGCACAGGGACAGGGTAATTTCAGGACTGTGCTGAGGAAAGTGCTGCCTCCAATGTTCCCCAGGAGGGAGATGCAGGAAAACAGCTGATCCACAAAAAACATGACGGCAGGAATGGCCTCATCAGCCCGGCAGGAGGCTCAGGTGCAGTTATTCCAGATTTAAAGGTGGGGATGGTTAAAGCATCCTCTCCTGATGGAAGCACCTCCTGGGGAACCGGGGAATGGCATCATGGGCTAAATAAAGGACCATGGGAGCAAAGTGCCACATTTCTACTGCCTGGGTTATTTTCCCGAATGACTGGGCTTATGCCAAAGGAGGACGAGCAGCATTTTCTCATTTCTCTCTCAGGGAGAATGGGAAAGGTTCTTCTTCCACAGAGCTCCCTTTTAAATTAAGTTTGCTGGGGTTTTGTTTTCTGTAGGATTTCTCTATCCTGTAGAACTTGTGAGGAGGAGGAGGCTGGGAAATGCACAAAGACCTAGCAAACCCATAACCCTCCCTATGGACATTCACAAGCCCAGGCCCTTTCCCATCCCAAAAGAATCCCATGCAAGCCAGAGCTGGACCATCCCTCATCACAGAACGCACCACTGCTGACAAATTCCCATTTTCTGGAGAGCACACATGGACTGAAAGACCCCTGACCCTCCCAAACCTCTTCCCCTCCAAATTAAAGCCACATCTACCCACTATGACTCAAAATCCTTTCAAATGGTGAAGGCAATACATGTACAAAAAAGAGGCTGCAGAGGTCAGATTGAAGGGTTTGTTCTTGTTTTCTTTTTTTATTACAAAAAAAAAAAAAAAAAAAAGAAAAAAAAAAGAAACCTATTGGGAAGAAGTCCATATGCAACAGAATATAACTGGCACCATCTAAGATACCCAAGTGAAAAATCCCAGAACGTCGGAACCCCCCAGCAGCAGCTGGGAGTGCCAGGGCTGGCTGGGAGGGCCAGGTGGCCTCTCCCTTCCCTTCTCCTAGCCCCCATCATCCTGGCTGGATGGCAGGCAGCCCGAGAGAGCCAGGACACAACAGTGGCATCAGCGGTCTCTGTAAAACCATTCAGTCGGAGAAACTAAGAACATTAATTATGAAAAAAAAAAAAATCTAAAACTTCTCTTCTTTATTTTTTTCTCTTTTTTTGTTTTTTGTTTTAACCTTTACCCAAAGCCCTGCTTTAGTGACATGCTAGCCCTGCTGGACAGGTGACACAGCCACAGCTCTGTCCAGAACACTGTTGACCAGTCAACTCTTGGTTCAGGACACCTTCCTCCCGCTCTGAGCGTGTCACGGCCACCTGAATTACAGTAACAAATACTTCTGCAGGCTTCCTGCTCTGGGAACCCCCTTCTGCAAGCTCCACTCTATGCTGGAACAAATCTCATCCCAGTCTCCCTCTGAGCTCACCCTCAGTCCCACCTGCATCCGACTGCATCCGCAAGAGCTCTGCCCGCTCTGGCTGGATGAGGCGTTGGAACGTCATCTCTTCCAAGAAAAAAACACTTTCATATATATTTTTTTTCTCTTTTTATATTTAAATAGAAAAATACTACTTCACTCTGTGTTATGAGCCAGAGATGGGTTGACTTCCAGTGACAGAACCAAGAGTTCTCCTCAATGCCAGAAGATTCCCAGAAACCTCAGAGTGGCCGGAGGGCGACGATGTCCCTGTCACGTCCCCAAATAGGCAGGAGCACACGCACAGCTCCCGTCACCACAGCTCCCATCTTCCCTTCTCCACAGAGAGGCACCAACCTCAGACAGCCATCAGTCAGCAGTGGGGCTGGCCCCCCAAATATGGCTCTGTTTTAAGCTTTCTCCTCTCCTACACGCCTTCTGTGTGTGCAGTCTGTCCCTGGAAGCCACAGGATCCCATCGGATGTACACATGAATTAGACAAAAAAAAAAAAATAAAACAGTGGTTAAAAGTTCTCTAACACCCCGTCCTCCTCTCGTCTTCCGAAGAGTCAATGACAAACAGACACGGATAAAACTAAACCTGCCCTCCTCCCCCACCTCAAGACAACAAGAGTTACTGAGACACGAAACATGTTATCTTGTACCCTCGGGATTACAGCTAGAAGGGAACTTTAGGGGCGCGGGGAGCGCGGGGGGAGGCGGCGGCGGCGGCGGCCGCGGGGCGCAGTCTGCTCAGTTCTTGTACTCAAAAGGCTCATCCCCGGTTTCGTTGAGGAGACACGTGCGGACCAGCGCCTCTGTCACGGCGTAGGGGTCGCAGTTGGCCGAGGGCCGGCGGTCCTCGAAGTAGCCCTTCTTCTCGTGGCCCACGTTGCGCGGGATGCGGATGCTGGCGCCGCGGTTGGCCACGCCGGCCGAGAACTCGTTGATGTTGGAGGTCTCGTGGAAGCCCGTCAGGCGCCGGGCATTGTCCAGCCCCCCCTTGGGGTCGTAGGCGCGGATGTGGTACTGGTGGCGCTTGCTCAGCTTCTCGATGGCCTCCTCGATGTGCCTGCAGAGGGAGGGAGGGAGAGAGGGACAGGGGTGGCACAGTGAGGGGTGGGACGAGCTGAACGCCTCTGGAGCTGAACGCCTCTGGACTGTCGTGTCAAAGTGACAGCGAGATTAATCAGAGTCCCCAAGGCACTTTGTGATGATGCCTTGTGCCCCACGGCCCACATGGCTGTTCATCCCAACACGGGGTTTCTCTCCACTTTTGTTGCTGGCCCAGAAAAGTCCTCATGGCCAAACCCCACAGGTTCCCAGGGAGTGCCACCTGTGAGACACCACCAGTTAAACTTCCCACTTCTCAGACAGGAGAGCTCTCAACACTGGCGTTGCTATTAATGAAGCTCACAGAGTCACGTTATCTCAGGGCAGCACTAAGATTAAGGCAAAAAACCAGAGCTGCCAGGATGCATCCCTCCACACAGCTCCACTGGCACAGTGTCCTGACTGCACAGCAGTCATGTGCAGGAACTCACAGTTTGCATTTTTAGGATGTTCATCTCTTAAGAAAACATGGCAGCCTTGCCCAGATGAAGCAAATGGTCTTTCTCTTTCATCATGGCTATAAAAATATCATTTAAAAAGCCCTGTGCTGAGTGGGTTTGTTTGTTTGTTCCCAGCACTGGGAGGTCAGGAGCTGGACAGGCTGTTAGAGATAGCTGCATCCTGTACTGGTGGAGCTGTACTGCTGGCTGAATTGCCCACCAAGCATCAAGACAAGAATGTGTCATTATAAAAAAAAATACATACTAAGAAAAAAAAAGAAACCACAAAAACAAAACGACCAAAAAAATCCTATCCAGAAGACTCAGATGTCATGCCAAGCACCAAAATCATCCAAAATCCTGCTGCCCAGTAAACAACCCAAAAACTTACTTGAGACCTCCTTCTTCCCTCATGCTCTTGGTGCTGAAGTTGGTGTGGCAGCCAGCACCGTTCCAGTTCCCAGGGATGGGTTTGGGATCGAAGGACACCACGACCCCGAAGTCCTCGCACACCCGGTGCAGGATGAAGCGCGCGATCCAGAGGTGATCACCCATCTCAATCCCCTCGCATGGTCCCACCTGGAACTCCCACTGCAAGGAGGAGGGTCAGGGGCTCAGCGGGGTGGAGACAGGCACCTCCCACCCGCTGATGCTGACAGCCACACAGCTCAGAGCCGGCACACGCAGCTCCCCCTGCCTGGGGTTTTTCCACGCTACTCTCTCACTCCATGAAGCATCTTAGAATGATTTACCTGGGCTGGCATCACTTCTGCGTTGGTTCCTCCAATTTTCACGCCGGCATAAAGGCACGCTCGGTAGTGGGCCTCCACAATGTCCCTGCCATAGGCTTTGTCTGCCCCCACACCACAGTAATACGGACCTGCAACAGCACAGGGCAACATCAGCCTCCACAGGGAAAAACCCTGACATCCAGTGAACACCCAGCATGCACAGAGAACTCTTCAAAAGCCCCAAGGTGTGTTTTTCATGGAAGAACTGGCAGGGTAGAACACTGACGGAGAGCAAGTTCGGCCCGAGTTTAAGTCTGCCTCTGAGTTTAAGTCCACTGCAGACCAACAAACCCAGCAGCAAATTTGGATGTGGCCAATCCCCACCTCAGCCTTTCTGTGACAAATTTAATCTTGCTGGTTGCTTGGTTTTTGCCAATATTCCGCTTTCTACCGTCCACCTTCAGTTCTAGGAGCACCTTGAAGCCCTCAACTCGCCTGAAGCTGTGCCACACAGATTTCAGTTCAAACACTCCTGACTTGCTCCAGGCTCCCAGAAGATTATTACCTTGGGGTCCAGGGAAGCCATTGGAAGGCCAGCCAAATGGATGTCCATCTGTCCCCAGGAGAGTGTACTCCTGCTCCATCCCAAACCAGGGGTGCTGGTTGGACACCATGTCCATAATCCTCCTGCAGGTGTGCCGGAGATTTGACTCTGAAATGGAAAAGCAACACGAGGCTCATGAGCGATGCCACCTCCACTCCCCATTTCTATTTATTTAACACTTTGAGTCCCAAGCAGCATTGAAGAATCCCAAGCCCAGCCCTTTAGTCCATCACCAGCACTTCGTTGGTGATACTGATACTTTCACGTTATTTCTGTGTCATGCTAAGGGCACAGACAGCATTGGGCAGAGTTCCCATTCCCCTTCCCAGGAACACCAGGAGAAGGGAAGGAAGGAGAAGGTCCATTCATTCACCTGCAGACTGGCGGTTGTACTTGAAGACCTCACAGAGAACGAGTTTATTGGGGTCCTTGCGGAAAGGGTCCCGAAACATGGCAGCAGGTCGCAGGTACATGTCACTGTTGGAGCCTTCGGACTGGTAGGTGCTGGAGCCATCGAAATTCCACTCGGGGAGATCTGGAGCAAAGAGAGGAACCAGCCACAGTGACCCATGGGATCCCTGCTGCTCTCCAGGAAGACAGATGTGAAGATGCTCATAGAGAACAGGCTTAGTCCCAGTTCAGCTGATTTTGTTCCAAGTGGGGGAAGCAAAAAAAAAAAAAAAACAACCAACAAACCCAAAACAAGCAAAAAAAATCACAGGAGTGCAAGTCCCTGGCCACCCTGGAAAATAACAAGTTGCTGGGCTGTTGGCCAAGCCTGAGTGAACAGAGTAGCACTGAGGACATTTCCCATGTCACAACAACCACAGGGATGAGCAAAGCACCCGGTCCCCTCAGCTGGGAGAGGGCAGACCATGAGCCACCTTCCAGCTGTGGGAATGAGGGGAGCCATGGAATACCCTCAGTAACACTACCAAGGCCTTAAGAAGGTGGGAAGGCAAATCAGAGAGGTGGAATCTCACATGGAAGGGGAGTGTGGCCCTTTGCCCACCCTCCATCCTGACCACTGCCCTCCAGGTCAAAGCCCAGAACTCTACCCAGGCAATGTTATCTCCTCCATGTCCCAGAGGGAAAGAGGGAGGATGGGAAGCACAAAGATTTCCAACAGGAGAACAGGAGCTGTGCCAACCACTCCCTCAGAGGGAAAAGGGGAAAGGAGAGAGGGGAAAAGAAAAAAATTAAAAAAAAAAAAAAGGAAAGAAAAGAAAAAAGAAAATTCTGCTCAGTCACACACAGTATTTTCATTTCATAACTGTCTCCAGCCAGCTCCATGGCAACCTGGGGAAAATCCTAATGCTATTATTGTGTAAGCTGGGACTGTTTGTTCTGAGGGACACAAGCTCTTAATTACACCGGATAGCTCCATTCTTTCCCCTGCACTTTCTTCTGCCAAACTACTTCCGGCCAAAAGGAGTACTCAAGAGTCAATGGGCAGCCCAGCCCCTGCCAACAGCCCCCAGCCCCTGCCAGCAGCCCCTCCACGGCAGGGACAGCACCAAGGACGGGCTCCCAGCCCCGGGCATCTCCCTGAAACTCCACATCTGGAGAGCTGGGAACATCCCCCTAAGGTATATAAGGTATAAGGGGAAAGAGGTAGCTGGAAGGGCACGAGGAGGAACATCCTCCCTAAAAACCATCCTTCTGCCACGGGAAGAGAGAAATGGCATCCTTCATCCACCCAGTGAGGGGCTACGAGTGCTGCACCTGCCCTCTCACCTTCCAGGCTCTTGGGCTCGTGGTCCAGCGTGCGGGTTTTGCAGCGGAGGTGCTCCCCCGTGCCGTCGATCCAGATGTACATGGCCTGCACCTTCTCCCCCTGCGGCAGCTTCATGTACATGTGCTTGATGGCTTTGCTCAGGTGGGAGCTCGCTGAGGTGGCCATGGCTGCAGTCCTGACGAGGGGGTTCCTGCAGAGGGGAATCACAGACAGCCCCAGCTGAGAGCCCTTTCCTGCGTGCCCACGTTTTTCAGCACCCCCCTTCCCCACCCAAGGCCAGGGAGGAGCAGGAGGCAGCTCGGCCGCAGGGCTGGCTGCCATCTCCAGCGGTTCCCTGTCATTCCTCAGGGAGAACACACAGCAGCTCAGGCTAGCCCTGCTCCAGAAACCCTTCAAAACACCAAACTCCTGCTAATAAACCAGAGCAACAGGCTTCCAAAAGGCTCCTTAGCCCCACATGAACTTTTCACCTCCACACTCTGCTCAAGAGCAAGGCTAATGCAGGGAAAGCTTAGCTGGGGCTTTCTTAATAAATCTGCATCATCGAGGAGGGCTCTTCTGCCCCAGCTGCCTTCTCAGCCCGGCTGAGGTTATCCAAGCCCGGTGCCAGGGCAGCAGGAAAAGCAACAGGCAGCACACAGGAGCCCTGAGCACCCCAGCAGCAGTGGGGAGCGGGATGGGCCAGGGTGGCTCTGGAATCCCCAGAGCTCTGCGGGCCGGGCTCTATCGCCAGCCAGCCCACTCGTGTCCGACCCACAGCAGCGGCTGTTTTCCAGGGAAATGCCGGGAATGCCGGCACTTTGGGAATGCGGACCGACTGGGGAAGCCGCTCCAACATCCCTGCGGGATGAGCCGTCCCCAGCCCACCCCGCCGCGGCTCCCACCGCCCCGCTGCCCTGCCAGAAGCATCTCCCACGCGTGCCTCTCCAGGCAGCCTCGTGGGGGCCAAAAATAAAACCACAAAAGCTGCAAAGGGAATGTCTTCAACAGAAAACTCAAGCTGCCGCTTCCTCCTCCTCCCCCCTCCCTCCTATCCTCCCCTTCCCCCAAAGGAGGAATTTTCCCTTGGAAGATCTCCCCGGGGCTGCCTCCCCGGCCCTGCCGAGCCCGGCGGGTGGCGGGCAGCGGTGTCCCCGTGTCCCCGTGTCCCCCCGGGCCGGTACCTGCGCTCGGCGGCTGCGGGCGGGCGGGCGGGCGCGGGACTCCCACGCTCGGCTCCCAGGGCCGTGCCCGCCGCCCCTTTATGGCGGAGCAGCGCCGGCCCCGCCGCACGGATTGGGCAGCGCGGCGGGACGGGAGGGACACGGCAGGGGGGACAGGGCCGCCACCACCCCGCCTCCCTCCTCCTCCTCCTCCTCCTCCTCCGCCCGCTCCGGCCCGGCCGCCCCCGGCAAAGGGGCACTCGGGCGGGTGCGGGAAAGTGAGGGAACAGAGGGCGGAGAGCGGAGAGGTTGGGTGGGTTTGGGGTGTTTTTAACAGCGCTCCCGACTGGAAAAACAACCCCTCGTCCCCGGGCGGGCGGGAGCGGATCCAAGGCTTTCGGCAGCGTTTACACTAGGCTGCCTTGGCAGAGCTGGCAGGGATGGAAACCGGCCGCCCCGGGAAAACAGGGAGAGAGGGAGGCATGGAGCTCCACCGAGCCCCTTTGGCTTGGTGCCCGCTCTTGGGAGGGGGACAAAAGCCTCGGTGCCCTCCTTGGAGCAGGTGACAGCCTCCAGCAGCTGGACCTGCAGAGCCTCGCTGCAAGGATCACTCGAGGGGGGAGAAATCCTCCAGCCCCACCATGGGAGCGCCCAGCAAACCGCAGGCAGTGCCCAGTGTTTTTCCACCATGTCCGGGTCTCCACCCCACAGGATCGCTTGTCGCATCTCCTGCAGCTCCAGGAGATGGGACAAGAGACTCCGGATCCACGGGGCGGGAGAGCTACGCCAGCAGGAGCAGACGGAGCTGGCAGCCGTGTGTGCACACACCAGGGCACACGCAGGTCCCAGGGCGAGCACACGCCACCCACACGCCTGCCACGGAGCCACACGAGCCTGCTGTGCCCCGTGCCAGCCTCAGGAAATGGCACCAGAACTGCCATTCCTCGAGAAGCTGGAGCCTCCCCGCCATCCCAAGCCACCCTGCCTCGGACACTGCCACTGTACAGCCAGAATCCAGAGGGAAAGTGGCCAGGGAGAGCCGGATCCTCAGGAGGGAGGAGGTGGAAGTGCTGGCCAACACCAGGCTTTGATTTATCACCCATCTCAAGAGCCAGATCCCCACCCTCCCTGCAGGGACAACTTGGCTCAGTCCTCAGCAGCACCTTGGAGCAGCCATGGGTGTGTGGCAATCCCCCGGGGCTGTCCAGAACGAGGTGAAATTCGGGTGCTTCTCTCCTCCTGGAATTGCTTGAGCAAGGCAGAGCCACCGAGCATTGCAACAGCCTGCCCTGAGCACTCCAGAAAGTGCCTCCTGCCAGCACCACCCCTGCTCCTGCACCCTGAGCACACAGAAATGGCTCCAGCACACAAACAAACCAACGAACGTGGTGTTTTACCCTGGGAAATGAGCTCAGCAACTCACGTTCAGCCCAAGTTCAGCTGTGGTCACCCAAATCTAACAGCTCAGCTGGAGTAAAAGGAAGCAGAGCAGGAGCAGGAGCCCAAAATAGCTCCCATAAAGGGGAGCTGTCAAGCCACAGGCAATGTAAAGCAGTGTCCAGCCCTCTTCCCTAGGTTTGTGGAGGGTTTCTTTAATCTGAGAGCTCTGACAGCTCCAAATTCTTGGAATTACAGTTCTACCTGCACATTTCCCAGTAACTCTGTCCACCTTTGGCTTCGAACACACCCAGATGTTTACAAGAGGAGGCCCCTGAGCAGGGGGGTGACCCCCGTGCCCTGCAAGCCTCGGGGCTGAGCAGCTCCAGCCAAGCCTGAAGGCAGAGGGGGAGCAAAGGCAGCTGCACAATGCAAACATCATCTCCCCATCCCAGAAATCCACACCGGGCCGCAACCCCCAGCCTGGCAGAGCCCCCCAGGGTGGGCAGGGCTGTGGTGGCAGGATGGAGCTGCCAGTCCCGGACGATTTGCTGGCTGGCTCATGCCCAAGGCCCTGTGCTCGCCCTGCACGAGTTTGGGAGCTGGAGAGAAGCGGCAGCCGCGGACCCAGCGCCCTCTCCCGGGAAGCGTTCCCGGGCCTCCTCAATGGACTCACCCGGCTTGTTTACCGCCTGCCTTCCTTCCCCTTCTCCCCTTCCAGACCGCCTTTTTTAAAACTTTTTTTAATTAATTTTCTTTCTAAAAATTATATTTTTAAAAAAAATTTATTTCGTTTCTTTTAATTTTTTTTTATTTTTTAATTTTTTTGGGAAAGCCTTCTCAGGCTTTCAAAAAATTTAATTTAGTGTCTTTTTTTCTAATTTTTTTTTTTTTTAATTTTAAATTATTTTTTGGGGAAAGCCTGCTCGGGCTGTGCTTTGGCCCAGTTGTGTGTTCCAGTGACCCTCGGTGTCACTGAATAATTTTTAAATTATTTTTCGGGGAAAGCCTACTCAGGCTGCACTTTTTAAAAATATGATTTATTTTCTTTTAAAAAAAATTAATTATGTTTTTGGGAAAGCCTGCTCGGGCTGTGCTTTGGCCCAGCTGCGTGCTCCAGTGACCCCCAGTGTCACCAACAAAACCCTCCCAGGGGGCAGCTGGGGAGGGCTCGGTGCCCACGGTGACACCACCCAGGAGTGGATTGAAATCCACCTTCAAAGGGCCACAGGCAGAGCCAGAGAGTGAGACAATGTCCCCTGCCAGGGGTGAGGCCCAACTGGCTCAGGTTTTTCCTTCTTCCTGCTGTTAATTCGTGGGAACACCTTTATTGCCTTTATTGGCCTTTATTGGCCCGGTCCGGCGCTTCCCGCCGGCACAGTTTGATATCCTGAGACAAGTGCCAAGGTTGGGAAGTGGCTGCTGAGTTAGGAGGGTTGGGCAGGCTGGACTTTGCAGCCTCCTGCCTCCAAGGCAAGCCCTCAGGGACAGGGAACAGCCGTGTCCCTGCACCCTCCAAGGGAGCAGGATGAGTTTCTCTCAGGTAGCATGAGGAATTCCTCCCCTTTTCCAGCTCCAGCCAGCGGCCAGGCAGTAAAGGATCAAGGCTTCCCTCTACACTGTGCCTTGCTGGGGCTGCTGTGACTCATCCCTTGTCCGTGTGTCCCCCTCCATCCCTGTCTTCCATTTGGGAATGCCTTAAACTGCAGAAATGTCACACCATTGGGGGGGTGGCAACTTGAGGGTTAAATAGACAGGATATGAAATTTCCATGTGGCTCAGACCCTGGGGCAGTGGCTGATGGCTTTTGGGGACTTTCCCAGCACTGTGATCCTCACCCCAGACCCTGGGATCTCAAGCCCAACAGATTGCAGCCCCAGACTGCTAAGACCCACTGGTCTTTCACCAGCACTAAAGAAAAATTCTGAACTAGAAAGGAAATGTTATTTTGGTTTTTTTTTTTCCCAACAGAGATGTCACACAGGGAGGAGGAATTGCCCATTTTGTTGTGATGCCAAGTCCCAGGAGGAGGCTGAACACACCCAAAATGCCCCAGCCTCCAGCAGTGGCACAGCTGGGAGGGAGGAGGGATGGGCATAACATCATGGAATCACAGAATGCTTTGGTTTGGTGTGGAAGGGACCTGGAGGTCATCAAGTCCAACCCCCTGCAATGAGCAGGAACATCTTCAGCATCTCTCCTCTCCCCACACTCAACACACTCCTAAACTGAGCTAAATAAAGCGGCTGTGCTCAGGTTGGTCTCTTTCTCCAGGCAGCACTGACACAACCAGAGAACGCAGCCTCAAGCTGCACCAAGGGAAATACAGGCTGGATATTAGGATAAAGTTTTTCACAGAAAGAGTGACAAAGTTCTGGAATGGCTGCCCAGGGAAGTGGTGGAGTCACCATCCCTGGGTGTGTTTAACAAAGCCTGGATGTGGCACTGGGTGCCAGGGTTTAGCTGAGGGGTTGGGGCTGGGTTGGGCTTGATGATCTTGGAGGTCTTTTCCAGTAATTCTGTGCTTCTGTGAATTCTGTGAGCTATACCACTTTCAGATGCATCCAGGGAAGTGCTTCGTGCTGGGAGGCCCTGCATGAGCAACTGAACTGCACCCAGGTGACCTCAGCCACGGGCTGCCTGTCCTGATATTGCATCACCTCCACCCCTGCCCACCCCTGGGCACAGCTGCCTCTGCCTGGACCCACACCAGCAGCTCCTGAGGTGCTCCCAGCCTGGCATACCTGGACATGCAGCACGTTTCACCCAGGGCTGGAAAACCCAACCCAGCACCCGAGCCAGCGCTTAGCTCAGAAGTGACCGAGCCCCCGTGGGGTGTGGGGGATGAGGGCCCTGGGGACACTGACCTTGTGCAAGCAGCAGTGGCCGAGCAGTGTCCCCCGGAGCGCTGCAGGACGCTGACGAAACCCCCCAGGGCAGGCAGGCAGCAGCTGCTGGCCCTGGCTGTGAGCAAACATTGCAGGCTCCGCAGCAGCCCCATGCTCCCTTTGAAGGTGCTGCCAGGGTCAAGGGTGGCCGTGGGCTGGTGGCCAGCGGGCTTTCAGCCTTTCCAGAGCAGATCACCTGGGCCAGTTTAGGAAAGCAAATTAATCAGTGCAAACTTACAGAGGCACATTCAGAGTGAAAGAAAAGAACCCCTCCCTCCTCATTCAGCTCCCTGGACCCTGCTCAAGGGGAAGAGGAACCTTGGGCTTTCAGCCTTTCCAAAGCAGATCACCTGGGCCAGTTTAGGAAAGCAAATTAACCAGTGCAAATTTGCAGAGGCACATGCAGAATGAAAATAAAAAGAACCCTTCCTCTTCATTCAGCTCCCTGGACCATGCACAGAAAGAAGAGGGACCTTGGGCTTTCAGCCTTTCCAGAGCAGATCACCTGGGCTGCCCTAAAGGGCAGTTTAGGAAAGCAAATTAATCAGTGCAAACTTGCAGAGACACACTCAGAGTGAGAGAAAAAAACCCTTCCCTCCTCATTCAGCTCCCTGGACTATGCACAAAGGGAAGAGGAACCTTGGGGCATGGTCCCCAGGACAGCCCAGGTGCTGGCACCAGTTTCTCTCTTCAATTAGGCAAAAAGCCACCTCATAGGACTTTGGGGACTTCACCTCCAACTTGAGGATAGCCAATTGGACAGGAGCCAAAAAGTCTTGCCTAAGCAATTTACTAGAAAAAGAAGAGAACCAAGGAACTAATTGCTTTTGTGGAGTGTTTTACCAGGAGCAAGAACCTCTTGCACCTGGCTCAGGTTTTCTCTGTAAGGAGTTTTGTTATTTTGCCTTTTATTAAAACTTTTCTGCTTCCAACACTAAAAAAAAAAAACAAAAAAAAACAAAAAAAACCCCACCAAACCAAAAAACTTCTAAGCTTTTTTTTCCTTTTTAAAAAGACAAAAAATAGTAACAAGAAGCAAATTCCTACAGCCACTTCCCTCCCCACCCCTCTCTGAGCCACCTGTCCCCATGCCCACCTGTGAAAAATGCATAAAAATGCATATTTTATGATGGGCTTTTTGCAAATATTAAAATGAATATTATATGTGTTATGTTAGAAAGTGTGTTATAAATATGTGCTATTATATATATATATATATATAAATTATGTATTAATTTTCTTAAGTAGTGTGTTAAATATAGTTTTAGGTTATAACATAATGTTAAAATATAAACTATGCTATATAAGATACTTATTTTAAAGAAAGGACTCGCAGCGAGATAGCAGCCACAGGACACCTAATCCAAATTGTCCAAAATTTTTATTCCTCTAATTATATTGCTATTTTTATAACCATTTTATTAGTATTAAACTTTTAAAAGCAAGTGATTGGCGTTTCTGACAGCACCGCTCGGCTTGGCACCCCTCCCAGGAGCCCCTGGCACTGCCCCATGCCCCAGCAGCCCCCTGCCCAGATCCAGGGGCACTCCCGGCTGCCAGCCCCTACCTGCTGTGCTTGCAGAGCTTGCCCGGGGGCCAGCACCTTCCCCGAGCACGTGTTTGCCTCCAGCAGCAGCCAGGGGGGAAGCTGGAAGATGAGAACGTCAGGGACAGGCGGGATTTGAGACCCAGGAATTGCTTGGCTCAGTTCGTTCTGTACAAGGGTGGAGAATAGCCCAGGGAGAGCTCTCAGCACATGCCTTTCCCCGCTGCTGGAAATTGGTCAGGGTTGTTTTTGTTGGGATTTTTTTCCCCCCTATTTTGAGTTCACACTGTTTAAAAGCCCTCCCAGCCAGGTTGGGGGCTGTGTTAGCTGTTAATCTCAGCCGAACACACCTCACATCTCCATGAGTGCAGAAATCCTCAAACTGCTGCCTGAGTGGATGAAGGGGTGAATCTGGGCCTGACATTGTAAATTACACAACAAAAAAAAATAATATTAATTATAAAAATGATAAATTATTAATTATAACAGCAAGGTGCCGCTGCCCATGTCCCTCCCTCATGGCTGAATTAGGTCCCTGTCCTGCCACAACACATATTTAACCCAGGCTGCTGAAGTCAACAGCCCCAGAGGCTGGGGTAAGGTTACACCAGTGGTTCTGCTTCAGCTGGAGGGGAGACAAGTGAAGGCAGAGCCTGCCACAGGGGCTGTCAGCTGTAAGGGAACAGTCCCAAGCAAGGAAACCACAGACAGATGGCAACAGGCTCAGAAATACTCCCCAAGGAAACACCAGTGGGGTGCTTGCCGAGCAAACAGATCTCATCCACTCAGGAGACTGAGCGGGGAAATCACATGAGAAAAATCACTGTAGGGTGTTCAAGAAAGAAATTCATATTTAAGGGTGAGCTGGAATTCATTGTAAAAATCATTGTAGTGTGTTCAAGAAAAGAATTCATATTTAAGGCTGAGCTGGAATTCCTCAGCCTAGAGAAACTCCACTTTTAAGGCTCTGTGGGCCTAATGTCCTATAAACTATTTAAATGAAAAGAGCATGAGGCTGTACAGGGGGGGAAAATTCCAAATTTTCCCCCAAAAGCTTGTGGTGGGGACATACTTATATACTTATATTTAATACTTATGCTAAGGGGGAGAGCAGGTTTGTGCACTCAGGCTGGAGCTCCCCAGATTTCTGGCTCTGCAGACCATCACCCAGAGCCAGAGCAATGCTGAGACGTTTGGGGTGTGTGGGAAACACCCCCTACCCTCCTGATGGCACCAAAAGGGCCAGGCTGGGCTGCTGGGGGGGCTGTGAGTGCCCAGTGACCCCAGGCAGTGAGGCTGACATTGTGTTTGGGCAGCCTTGGACTTTGCCACGCTAGGGAGCAGTGCCAGCTGATGTTGGGCAAGGAGAAAAACCCCAGCCCATCCCCTCTGGGAACGTGAGGCTCTGCCCCTCATCACCCCAGGGCTGCTCCCCACGCCAGGGTGGGTGATTTGGGCTGGGGCAGAGGGGCAGCAAAGCCCTCCTGACGTGTTTCATGTTGCAATCCTGCCCTTATCTTTTTATGGAGCCCAGCCACTCCGAGCTTCCTTCTAAATCTGGGCTCTGCTCCTGTGCCCACCTCTTTTTTTCAAACTTTTTTGGTTTTTTTTTTTTTCCTAGATAGCCACACAGCTCACGTGTGCTCCTCTTGTGAGGACACTATGTGCCCTGGGAAGCCAGGAGAGGAGAGCTCCATCCTGCCAGACCTCTTGGGGAGAAACTCCATGGAAATGGCCCTGTGCCCTCTCAAAGTGACCATGCTGGACAATTCCTGCTCACAACCTTATTTTTTTTCCTGGCAGAAGCCCTCACAGTCCCAGAGCTGGATGAGCACCCAAGGAGCCACCCCATCCTCTGAGGATCCTACTGGGCATCTGCTCAGTGTCCAGCTGGAAAATGTGGGGGGGGTTTTTTGAGTTTTGACTTTTCTCTGAGGATTTTTGAGTCTTTTAGGTGTGAGACAGCCACCACTCCGGTTCGTTCCTATCCCCCCTCTCATCTCTGGGGCTCAGCTGCAGAAATCTTTACGGATCCATGATGGGAGCTGCTGCTCCTCCCCATAACTCCTTCCCACAGCTCTGCCTGGCACCGCTGGGACGAGCAGGTGTTCTGTGGCTCACAGCTGCCCCTTCCCCACATCCCTGTGGGTTTTGGCACAGTGACCAGCCCCACAATCGGCTCGGAGCTGTGCTCTGTCTGAGACGCAGAGCCCTGCTGCTGCTGGGAGCAGCTCCGCATTCCTGGTTTGACAGCGCCACCTCGTGAGGTGGCCCCGCTGCTGGGGACACTGGGGGACACTGTCCTGCCCCCAGGCCTGGCACAAAGACCAGAGCAGCATCAAACACCCACCTGGGGAGCAGATTCCGCCCCCTGCCAGGGGAACAGCTCACTCCTGCTGCAGGACGGAGCTCCCTCTTTTTCTCCTCCTTCTCCTCTTCCAGCTGCAGGGTGTCCAAGGGTGGGTCTCAGCCCCAGATCTGGTGAAGAAAGACAGCAGATAGGAAATGTCGGCTTGGTCTGTTTAGGGCAGACACAGAGGGGTCTCCTGTGAAATTCCCATCCCGAGCTGAGCGACCACGCTCAGCTCTGAGGTGCCACCAGGGACCCGCTCTGAAGGCAAGAAATTTGCCCCAGCAGGGAGAGGGGAAGGGTTTTGTGGCATTTATATTCTCTGAAAAAGTTCTTCTGTTTAAGATTTTTCTCTTGACAAGCTAAGAAGCTTAAAAAAAAAAATCTTATCTCATTTGCGTCTCCTGTGTTGTGCTCATGTGTTTGAAAATTGTTTAGTCACAAGTGATTATTTCTTTAGTCTCCAGTGTGAGTTGTTTTAATTCATTAGCCAATCAGGGCCAAGTTGTGTCAAAACTCTAAAAAGAGTCACAAATTTTCATTATTATCTTTTTAGCCTTCAGTATCTTTTCTATATTCTTTAGTTTTAGTATAGTATTCTTTAATATAATATAGTATCATAAAGTAATAAATTAACCTTCTGAAAAGATAGAATAAAATGCATAATTCCTGCCTTTGTTGGAGCAGTTTCCCAACAAATCCAATGGGGTTTCATTTCAGGACTGCCTGAGTGTGCCTGCAGGGCTGGAGATTTAAAAAGTGACATTTCACAGCATCGCAGGATGGGCAAGGTCACAAGGCACCACCTGGTCCAACACCTCAGCTCAAGCAGGGTCCCCTGAGCCCAGTACTGAGGATTGTGCCCAGATGATTCTCAAATAGCTCCACTAAGGGAGGCTCCACAACCTCTCAGAGCAACCTGTTCCAGTGCTCAGTTACCATCACAGTGAATAAGTTTTTCCTCATGTTCAGGTGGGAATTCCTCTGTTCCTGTTTCTGCTCATCCCATTTCGTGACACCACGGAGAGCAGCCTGGCTTCCACCCTCTGCACATCCCCCCTGCAGGCCCATAGAGACACTGCTCAGATCCTCTCTCAGTGCTCTCCTCTGCAGGATAAGCAGGCCTGGAGGGAGCTGCAGCCCCCCAGGAGTCACCCAAAGGAGCGTGTCACAATCAGGGTGGCACTTCGGAACCCAGCACCGGAACACTGCACCATCACGATGACTCCTGGTGAGTTCCCCTTTGCTGGGGGCTTCAGCCCTTCTAAACACACCCCAAAAAGTGGAAAAATGGGGGGAAAAAAGCTGTATGAAGCTTGGAAATTTGGTCCTCCCTGTAAAACCACTGTGCCTTGACGGAAGAGGGCATTTCCAGGGGCACCCACCCACCAGCAGGCTGATGCCAGCCCACCTTCCTGCATCCAGATCTTCCAGAAATGAATAAAACTTCACAGGGTGGCGGGAGGTGTTGGCCACTGACACTTGCACTGAGTCCTGGGTGGATGAGCTGTGTTATGCCCAGTGTTAGGGTAAGGCAGAGGAGCACAACTTGTGCCCTGCAGCCACCTCCCTTCTCCTGCCCTGTGGATGCCACCACATTTGTGCCCAGCCTTTGCTGTTTGGGAGGCTGCCATTCACACTCCCCAGCTCCTGCATGCTCCTGAACCTGGTGCTTTGCAAACAGCCTGTGCCACCCATCCCAAATCACATTTCACACAATGTCCCAGCTCCAAATCCTCCCCCTGCACAAAGGACAATCTCGTACCACACATCCCCTAAAGCTGATTCCCCCCAAAACTCCTCCTCTGGCTCACAGCTGGCCACACAAAGCCCAGGTAACTCTCTCTTTTCCCCCTGTAGCATCCATAGCCTCCACGGACATGGGGCTGCTGCTGCAAGATGATGTTTTTGTTGACTTTTTCAACATCTTTCTGAGCCTTCCTGTAAGTCCACTCTGCACCATCAAACCTAGAGCCTTTCAGAGCTCTCCTCAGGTGAACTTTGTGTGGCATTTTAGAGGCTGCAGGAAAATTGGGGGTTCACTACATTCAGGCTGGAAAATGAGGGAAACCTGAGGATCTCAGCTTGGAGATAAAGGGTCTAAAAGGGAATTTGTTGCCCTTCTGTGTAGTGGGAACTAACTAGAACTCTGGGTTCCTCTGCCATCTCTTTCAGCTCTCCCTTTCTGTTTTAATGCAGATTTTTGGGCAGACACCCCTTTACATCAGCGGCATGGGCCGGTGGTGCCTGTGGCCAGAGCTGCCGAGCCACCTGGTGAGAACTTGTTAGAAGGGAGGAACAGGGAGGAAGGGCACAGGGCAGGGGCGGGAAGGAGCCGCTTTGGCACTGCCAGGGCCCCTCTCTGGCTCTCTGTTCGTGCAGCTGTGAGCGATCATTTCAACCCCGGCCGTCGTTTCGCTGTAAAGCCCTGGGCGGAGCACGATCCATTTAAAGTCCTGCTGCAGTTTGGGGTCTAGCCATAAACACCGAGAGCACGTGTGGCGGCACAGAAGGACACAAACATCATCCCCTTGTCCCGGATTCCTCCTGAATTCAACAGGAGCCAGGGTGGCTCAGCCCTCCCTCCCCACTCGTGCCCGTTCCCCACAGCCCTTGCAGCGCTCAGATCCCAAAGCAAACAGGAGCCCCCGCTCCTCTGGAAGCCCCCGGGGAGCTGCCATGCCTGGGCTCTGTGAGGAGGAGGAAGGAAGCCCTGCAGGAGCTCGTTTTGGGCACGGGCAGCGGCTGAAACTCGAGTATCCCCCTTGTGCCTCAGCACCACCATCGCCATAAAGCAACAGGGCTCCTTCCCCACCTCCTTTCCCCGTAGCAAGGACCTGTTACTCACCCTAAAAGCCAGGCAGGATCCGGCTCCTTGCTCGCAGCTAATCCTCTCCTTGGGCAGCGCAGGATGCCAGCCCCGCGGCTTTGCTGGCTTGGTTGGAAAAGCAGCGTCTGCCTCACTTCTGCAAATCCAGCCTGTGCCTGCACCTCGTCCTCTGCCAGAGGCTGCTGGCGTTCATTCGCTCGGGGGAAGCAGGTGAGTCATCGCGGCACGGAGGAAACCGGAGCCGCTGCTCCTCTCGCTGCGGGGCTGGCGCTGCCAGTGCCTGCCCACTGGGTCGTGCCTCTGCTCCGGGCTGGGAAGGCGTTGCACATCCCGTTTTTAGGATTTACATCCCATTTTGCAGGGATTTACCCCACCGCGCTGTTATAAGTACCTGCCTAGCAGGGTTTACCGAGGGGTCCAGGGGTGGAGAGCATCCTGGGTTTGCTGCTGAGCAGGGATGCTTTGGGAAGACTGGCTATGATCTCTCTTACTGGCCACAACTCGGGATTTTGCTCACTTTGCCCCTAAAATGAGCCTTCTCAGTCCAGCTCCTCAGCCTGCATGTCAACTGCTACTGAAAAGAAAGCTCTGGCAGCAAGAGTGCCGATTCTCATTTCAGAAAAATAAGCAATTCACCAAGGCTTTTCCTAAGTACATTGCTGCTGCTCCTCCAGTCGGGTTGAAACTCAAAGCTGGAGGAAACTGAGGGCGAGCCCCCAACTCAGGACAGAAAAGATGGACGTTTGCAAGGAAGAAAGGCACAAGAGCAGGACAAGCTGTCCCTGACAGGAGCAAGTTATCCTTGCAAACACCCTATGTGCATCCCACAGCCTGCCTGAAACTCCCAGCTCAGGGTGATTTGCTCCAGCAGCCTCTTCCAAGGTGGGAGCTGGAGAGTTTCCTTGGGATCTGGCAGGCAGGCCCTGATGCCATCTGTGCTGTGTGTCCCACAGCAGAGCTGCTGAACTGGCACAGCGCTGACCAGTGGCTGCTGGAGAGGTGCATCAGCGGGAGCCAGGGCATGCGGCACCTCTGCGCCTTCCTCCGAGGAACTGCAGGTGGGCACGGGATGCTCCACAGCCGCCTCCCTGCCAGCCAGGCCCACCTGCCTGCCAGGAGGCTGGCACAGAGCTGGGGGCATGGGTAAGATGCCAGAGAAAGCTTTGGAAGGTGGGCCAGCAGCAGAGATGGGAGGGAGATGCACAACCGTGGCTTTGCTGTGCTCTGTTCCTCTCAGTTCTTCTTCATCCACCCTTGGGGTTTCCAGGGGCTCCTCCCTGTTACAGACATTTTTTTATGAAAAATCTTTTCTTTAAGATTTTTCTTCTTGAGAAGCTGAGAGGTTTTAGGGACAAAATGTAAACAATGATTATTTGTTGCTGTGGAATGCAGCAGGTGGATTTGTGATTGGTCTCATGTGGTTGTTTTTAATTAATGGCCAATCACAGTCAGCTGGCTCAGACTCTTTGAGCCACAAGTTTTTGGTGGTTTTTTTTTTTATTATTTTTAGCTAGCTTTCTGATGAAATTTTTTCTTTTAGTATAGTTTTGATATAATATATATGATAAAATAATAAATCAAGCCTTCTGAAACATGGAGTCAGATCCTCATCTCTTCCCTCATCCTCAGACCCCTGTGAACACGGTCACACCTCCCATCCCTTGTCTGATCTGTAGGGGAAGAACTGATGGACTTCTGGCTCATCACTGAGAGGCTCCTGGGTCTGGATGAGTCGGATGGGAGTCAGAGGGAGCTGTTCTTGTCCCTGGAGCACAGGCTGAGAGCCACCCACCTGCGTGAAGGCTCCAGTGTCCTCACCTTCTGCACCACCATCGTGGGTAAGAGACATGGGAGTTGGGATGAGCACCACCCTTCCAGAGAGTGGATCTTTCCTGGCTGCTCCCAGGGGGATGGGATGCCATCCTCTCTCTGGGGAACAGCCTGCACGGAGCCATCTCCCTGTTGTAATTCCCTGCATCCATCTCAGGATCTCTTCCAAAAGCCAAGCACATCCAGTCCATCAGCACCAGGAGGGAGATCCTAAGCAAGATGCAGGAACAGGTCCTGTTCGTGATTCAGAGTTACTGGCTCCCTAAATTCCTCATGCACTGCAAGATGGGGATGGAGGAAGAGGAATTGTGCTGGCCTTTGCTGCAGGAGTATCAGGAACGTTTGTCACAGGCTGGCTGGCAGCCCCCAGGCCTTGCAGAGCCCCTCCCCACCATGCACATCAAAAGGAGCCAGGGTGTGCCAGGGCCCTACTGCAGCCAGAAGGCCAAAGCAGAGGTCTGGGCTATGGTCAAGGAAGGGAGAGACAGCAAAGAATTGAAAATGGCCACTTTTCAGGTGAAAGCAGAGAAGCAGCCAGGGCCAGCTGGGAGCAGGGAGGAATTGTGGCTGGATAAGAATGCTGTGGGATCAACTCCCCAGCAGTCACAGCATCCTGCCTTTGGAGGCAGAGGAAGAGCAGCATTTCCTGGCAGACCACAGTCCAGTGCAAAGCAGGATCTGCAAAACCTCTGTAAGGTGAAAATGCTCCCTGACCTGCTTCCCTCTGCATCCCTTGCCCGGCTGCCATCCCTGAAAAAGCCAGTCAAGACCCTGGATTTCCTTCCCTGGGCCCTGAGTGCCGAGGCTTGTGCTGGAAGACCCTTCAGAGATTTCCTGCAGCACCAGAACAGGCCCATGGAGACTCTTCTCCTGGACCTGTGGCATGACCTGGAGGAGTTTCTGCCCGTGGTTCTGGACTCCAGCAGAGAAAACAGCTTCTCCCTGCGCCATCTGATTGGGGAGAAGATCTGCAAGACCTACCTGGAGGACAGCAGCATTGAGAAGCTGCCCTTGGAGACCAGGACCCTCGTGAGTTTGTGGAACCGTCTGACATATGGAGAATTCTCCCCCTGGATATTCAGAGCCCAGAAGGAGATTTGCAAGGTACACAGGGTCAGGCTGGGAGGCACAGCTGGCATTGGCACCCCTGTGGTGGTGTGAGGGCTCTGGGGGTGTTTAGGAAGTGAAGCCTTTGGAAAATGAAGAGGAAAAGGGATTAGGAAGGGAATAAGTTGCAGTCACCTTGCAATGAACCAGGCCAGTGGAAAGGAGCTTCCTCACTGGTTGGGCTGAGCAATCACTGAACATCTCTGGTGACCCTGGCTGGGTGCACATTCCAGGACCATCCTTCTGCACCCATCATGGTTCCAGCACAACTCCAGTAAAACCCATTTAGAACCCCAGCCCTTCTGGGCAGCCCCATGGACCAAGCTGGATGTGCAGGCGTGTCCTGGGCATGTCAGCAAGGTGTGAGCCACCCGTGGCACCAGCACTGTCACCCTGCCTGAGGACAATCCCCCTTTGCTCCTCCTCAGGTGCTCTGTGGCCTCTATGAGGAATTTCTGGCTGCTGACGACAGAACATTCCTCCAGTTTATGGTAAGGGGGATGTGCAGGGGCATCCTTGGGGGGTGTGCAGGCACCAGTGGGGATGTGAAAAGGTGGAGAGGGAGTGAGGGAGGGAGGAGAAGCCCAGCATTAGCTGCAGTGGTCTGGCATCTCACAATATCCCCAGCCAGTGCTGCCACAGGGTGACACAGCAGATCCTACCCTGCTCCAGCTGCCACAGCAATGATCCTCAGCTCTTCCAGCACAGCATCCCCTTCAGCTGTCAGCACTGCAGGCACAACCTGTGAGAGCTCCCCTGGGACAAGCTGTGACCCTGCCTAAGAGCTGGGAGAAATGTAATTACAGGCTTTTAGTGTAGGCATGGGTGAGCCCAGCACTTCTGGGAATTGATATGCCCTTTTTTTTCCTTGCCTGCACTATTAATGTGTAATTATTCCTGCTATTAATGCGACTCATGTGCATGACACACATGGGATGACCCTGCCCCAGCACCAGTGCCTGGCCAGCACAGGGGGGAAGAGGCCATGCAGCCTTTTAGCCCATGACTCAACCACCCTCAAATTTTCCACTTCTTTTTTTCCACCAAAAAGGATGATATACAACATCAGAGTCACACAAGCCCTCTTCCCAGACTATTATTCCTCCTGGCATCAGAAATCCCATAAAACCTCTCCAAATTCCAGCATTACACCCAGAAACCTCCTTGCAGGCAGAACCCCCTGAGCATCCCACCTGCACTGGTACCTGTGCAGGCAATTCTTCTCACTGCAGATGGTGTTCTTCAGACCAACTGTTTTCCCAAACTGAAATGTAAAATCAACAGCTGATCCTGGGTATGTTAAGGAGAGGCTGTCAGGGCTTGGTGTCTTCAAAGACCTGGCTCCCAGAGCCTCAGCCAGGGAGAGCTGAGCATTTTGGAAAAGTCAGCAAAGTCAGCTGGCAGCTCCCACCTGCTCTTAGTGGGGAGTTAATTATCTGCCCAGGTTTTTTAAGCACCTCTTGTGGAGGAAATCTCCCCTGTGAGGCCAGAGCTGCTCTGGGAGTGCAATTAGCACTTCAGCAGGGTCGGGCCCTGCTCTCTGTGGGCACCATCCCCTGAGCCAAACCCCTCCCGGCGCTGCTGCTGCTCTGTCAGGGGAGCTGCTGCCAGCTTAGCAGGGTTATTTTTGGTGCCTGCTCTCAGCTCCCAGCCAGAAATCAGCCACTCTACCCCTTAGGCTTGGCGAGCTGTGCAAACTGTTTGTCTTTGGGGAGAGGCAAAGCCTGCAGGAAGGTTTGGGGGAATGAGGGAGGCACTCCCAGGGCACCAACTGGTGACGACAGCCAAGAAAACAGCACACGAGGCTGCCAGGCTGCTGGGGACACCTTCAGGGTTGTTTCCAGCCCTCCTGAGGGGATTTTGAGCCCTTCAGAAAAGCTGCAAGGCCGTGTCTGGCCTAACTCTGGCTGCCTGTACGTCCCAGCCAGCTTGAGCTGAGCTTTGTGCTCTCACAGATTCCTTCCAGACTGCTTAAAGCTCGAGCAGAGGTCTGAACCAGGCAGGTCTGGAGTCTGAGGTGCAGTAAAACACGTGGGTGATGCCTTGGGAAGGCTGACCTAGAACAGAGGCTGGACAGAGCTAAATAATAAAGCAGGGATTTATTAAAAGGCCTCAATGGATCCACCTTGGGCAGCACAAGAGCCCAGCCAGGGCTGCACCCAAGATGAACCAAAATGATCACAAAAATGGACAACAGGTCATGGAGTCTCTCACTTTTATAAGTTCTGGTCCGTTTGCATATTGGAGTTAATTGTCCAATTCCAGCTCCAGCCCATGAAGTCCCATCCTTCTTGTTTTTCTCTCTTCAGTCCACGGTGTTTGTGCTCTTGGGCCTGAGATTTGGATCCTTTGTCCTTGGTCCCCAGCTAGAGCAGGAATTGTTTTGTCTCCCTACTCTGTGCAGAGAGCTCATAGGAAGCCGAGACCCACACACTAAAGCAGCCCAGAATCTGAAAAACACAAAAGTTCAAACCTGAGGCATCCTGGGCCCAGTGCTGGAGATGGGGAAGGTGCTCTGTGCCATCACCCTGCCCTGTTCTCACCACAGGCTCCAGGCATGGATGTCCCCATGGCCAAGGTGCCAGGTCGTGCTGCTGGCAGATGGGGACATTCCCACCTGTCCCAGAGGATGAACCAGGCCCTGCAGCTGAGCCAGGCCCTGCATGGCACGAGGAGCTTGGAGGGGGTCTCCTCCAAGGACTGGCAATTGCTTGCTGCTCGGGACCTGCAGAAAGGGGGCTCCATCCAGGCAGAGATGGAGCTGCTCCTGGGCAGCGCTGGTAAGAGGGGACTCTCCATCCCTGGTGGGGCTCATGTTGGCTGAAGCCAGTAAAACGTGGTTTATGCTCCGGTGGTAGCGCCAAACAGGTGATGGACATCATGGGGTGGGTTGGTACAGTGGGTCTGGGAGCCTTCATTTGTAAGGAAGGCTTTGACAGCTTTTTATTTCCTGTCAAAATCAGTCAAAACTGTCCACTGGGATTTTAGACAAGGGCCAGATTCCCTCCTGCCAGTACCAGGGGCACCAAATACCAAATCCCTGTATTGTCCTGGATCACCAGAGCAAATGAAAGCTGCAGCAAAGTGGCTGAAGCCCAAAGCCAGCAGTGGCTCCTGTCACCTCAGCTCCACATTTTGGCCTTCTGAGGATGCTGGGACTGCCCATGCTGGTGCCACTGGTGTAACCCTTCAGCTTTGTTCTGTCATGCAATCCTTTGGGTATGACACCGATTTTCTGAGCTGCACTGAGGGTGCAGCAGTCACCTGTAGCCTGTGGGCCCTCAGTTTTACCCAAGAAATGCAGTGTTACAGGTAGCTCATTGAGCAGGACACACAAGGGGACAGGAAAAGTGACAAAACCCATTCCTCAGAGCCAGTGCTGAAGGGCTGCTGTAACCAGAGGTAATGTTCATGGGCTCTGTCCCCTCTCCCCTCTCTGCTGCAGAATCCCAGAGGATGATAGCAGATGAGCTGGCTGTGAGCAGCCCCAGCAGGGAAGAGGAGCTCCTGCAGCTCACAAAGGCAGCACTCGGTGAGTCCAGGCAAGAGCCCAAGTGGGCTCCCACACATCCAGCACCCTTGGGGAGCTTCTCCAGAAGGAAAGGCCTCTCCACCCACCACAGGCTGTGCTCTGGGGCATTAACCCAGCCAGGGAGGGTGGCACTGGGGGTTTTCTCTGAAACAGATGCTGAGATATGAAGTATCGGTGATGATGTGAGAGATGGGGAGACTGTAAAGTGATCAAAGAATCCAATTTTATTGTGGACGACAAATGCTTATAGACTGCTTTAGGAAGGCTTATAATGTTTTACTGCAATGATTGGGTTAAAAATCATATAAACAAACTTACACATTTTAAACCTCTCTTGCCTGCAGAAGTCTGATGTAATTTTCTTTTTCCAGTAAACCCGTCTGATTGAATCTTCCTGCAATCTTGATTTAATCCTCAAAGTTCTGTTTGCTCTTGCCAAGGCATCCTGTTATCAAATCTCTTAAGCTAGCCAGGTCCAAAGTCCATCATCTGTCCTGTGTGTCCCAGTATCCCAGTAGTGAAGAGCTCCCTTGGTGTCTCCTGGGCCAGAGTCACCACAGACACACCCTGTGGAGGCTCCAGGGTCCAGGTGTCACCTCTGGCTGTCCCCTGGGGAAGAGGCCAGCCCTGTTTCTGTCCCCACAGCTGTTGCATCTGAGAGGATTGCTCGAGAGAATGCTGCTGCTGCTGCAAGGAAGAGGGAAGCTAGAAAATGCAGGTCTGGCATGTCACAGCACACAGCTTTGCTCCTTCCACTCTTTCAGGTGTTTCCCAGTGCTCCCCTGTAGTGCCACTGGTCTCTGTTTGCTCATTTGGACCTCTCAGATGTAGGGTGGCCTGTGGGTTTAAACTGCAGAATTAGCAGGGAAAGGAGAAAAAATAACACTCCCCACCCCCAGCTCAGATTTACTCTTCACACCTTGTGCAAATCTTGTGCACTTCATCCTCAATCAACCCCCAGAATGCCACCTGAGCAGTGCTTAGATTCCCAGAAAAATCACTTAAAACCACACTGTGGCCATACTTAAATCTCATACTCACATTTCACCTCCTGGGACTACTCCAGCACTGGGATATAAAGCAAATGGGAAAATGATGCTGAGCACCTGGGCTGAGCTGATTTCTTCAGCTCAGTTATGCAAATGCACCCTGCCCAACATCCATCCCACTCTAACAACTGCTATTAATTAATTTTTCTATGGCCCATCAGTATTGATATTCCATCCACACCCTCACCCCAAACCTACCAAATCACTACTGGGCCTGCAGGCTGCTGGACTGGAGGAGGAAAACACTGCAGATAAGCAGGACAGACACTCCCATGTGCAAGAAGAGAGTGCAGGGGAGGGTACCTAGTGCCCTCTACCATTGTCCAACCTCCTCCAGGACCAGAAATCCAGTGGGACCCCAACCCCATGGCCATCCCCTATCAGCTGCTCCCACCTTAGCCCCCCTTCCATCAAACCAGTGCCCTCCTCATGCCTCTGGCTGCCCTGATGCTCTCTCTGCTCTCCCATCTGGCAGGCTGGAGGAGGAGGGTGAGGAGTATGACGAGGACGAGGAGGATGAGGATGAGGATGAGGATGAAGAAGAGAAGGAAGGACCCTACTATCAGAAGAAGAAGAAGCAGAAACAGATGGAGAAGCAGAAAAAGTCAGGGAAGCAGAAAAAGACAGAGAAGCAGGAAAAGACAGGGAAGGAGAAAAGGACAGAGAAGGAGAAAAAGACAGAGAAGGAGAAAAAGACAGAGAAGGAGAAAAAGACAGAGAAGGAGAAAAAACAGAGGCAGAGGAGGAAGGGACAGCAGCAGGAGCAGCAGCAGGATTTGTTGCCCTGGAACAAAAAGCCCAGGTCGAGGCGTCCTCGGTTTGTGCAGGATGGGACAAGGGACCTCAAGACACCGAGGATGGTGAGGAAAGACATTCCTGTGTGCTCCAGGCTGAGGGTGTTTGCCAGGCAAGGCAGAGAGGAGGTGCTGGGAGACAAGGGTTGCCACATAAATGGGGTGAGGGGGTCAGACTTGGAGAGCTGCAGAAAGGCAGCAGGGAAAGGCTCCCTGAAATAGGGCTCTCCTTGAGCCAGGTCTCATGAGCTCTTGGAGATCTATTTCCCACCCAAGATAGCTCAGCTACCTTTTGAGGCATAAAATCAGCAGGATGGCTTCTGTGGTAGTGTTGGAAACAAAAAAAAATTTTAAAAGGTAAAATAACAAAACTTTTTACAGAGAAAAAGCGAGCCAGATTCCAGAGGTTCTTGCTCCTGGTAAAATACCCCACAAAAGCCATTGGCTTCTTTGTTCTCTTCTTTTTCTAGTAAATTGCTCAGGTGGGACTTTTTGGCTCCTGTCCAATTGGCCATCCTTAAATTTGACTCCATGTTCTTAGAAGGCTAATTGATTATTGTATTGTATTTATTACATTATATTTATTATATTAAAGACTCTATACTAAAACTATGCTAAAGAATAGAGAAAGGATACAGACAGAAGGCTTAACAAGATACTAATGGAAAACTTGTGACTCTCTGCAGAGCCTTGACACAGCTGGCTGTAATTTGTCATTAAGTTAAAACAATTCACATGAAACCAATCAAACTATGACCAGTTGGTAAACAATGTCCAAACCACATTCCAAAGCAGCAAAACACAGGAGAAGCGAATCAGATAATTATTGTTTTCATTTTTCTCTGAGGCTTCTCAGCTGCCCAGCTTTCCCCTGGGCAAAGGGGATTTTTCCAGAAAATATGACAGTGACACTGGCTGATGCCACCTGTGCTGTGTCCCCACAGGCATGGGCCTGGGATGCCATCCGGGAGCTTGTCAGGAGCTACTGCAAGTTCAGGAGGGACATGAAGAATCAAACACGCTGTGCAGAATTTCAGCATTTTCTCCGTCAGGAGCGAAGAAACAAGAGGGAAAGTATGTCCAGTGTCCCTCCACCCCTCCCTCCCCTGGGTTTAGGTAGAGAAGAAAATGGAGAAGACCAGGAAACCTGTCCCTTACCTCCCACCACCATCACTTAGTGCCCTGTTATGCTGTTGCATCTCTCTCAAGTAATGTTGTATATGCAAGTTTGCATCCCTGCCTAAAAAAAAAAAACAACCAAATCAGGAAACAGTAAATGGAGCTAAGGTGAGACAGGCCAGAAAAACAAACAAAAGGAAATTGTTTTCTGGGCAATAGGGAGCTGGCCTGCACAGAAAGTTTACACACAGGTTTGAGAGGAGGCAGGAAAAGCAACTAGAAAAGTAATCTACTAAACACACAGAAACCCTATTTAGATCAAGAGAATTTTGTATATGGAAGAAATAGATTTTTTCCCTTTCATCCTCACTCATTATCTGCTTGTGGGCTTTGTCAGGGCTAACAGCTAGACAGACCAGCAGGCTTTACCAACAGGCCATTCCCTATGGAAACAGTGAACATAAACACTCTGTGGATGCAAAGAGGAGGAGGGAAGGAGATCACCAGGCCAGAGGGAAGGTGTAGCTCACAGGAGTAGAAAGGGCCCCAGGAAATTGCATGCAGCTAAGGGAAGCCCAGATGGGGTGAAGGAGCAAACCCAGCGCTGGGCAGCAGCACACAGCATCTCTTCCCCTGCCTCAGACTTGCCTGTCAAGGAGAAGAAGAGCAAAAGTCCTGCCAAGAGTCCTGCCAAGAGCCCCCGCAAGGGCAAGGGCAAGGGCCAGCAGCAGCAGGTGACGCTGATCAAACGCCGCATTTTGGACAAACAGATCATCGTTGTCAACTTCCTCGTGGATGACCTCCGCTTTTACCTGGAGATGGACAGGTAAGTTCTCCTTCCACCTTCTTCTAGGTGCTTGGGCACCTGGTGGTACAGAATCCCAGAATGGTTTGGGTTGGAAGGGAGCTTAAAGGTCATTCTTGTTCCAGCTCCCTGCCTTGGGCAGGGATGTGTCCCTCTGGACAAGGTTGCTCAGAGTTCCATCCAACTTGGCCTTGGCACCAGCCTGCCTTGGCTCTGGCCCAAACCCATCTCTGATGGAGACGTCCAAAGCCCCCATTTCAGCCTGCAGCCATCCCCTGGCTCAGGATTCCTGTCTGAAATCCTTTTGCTTTGGAAGTCCCAAGCAATTCAGCATTTGGCTACACCATTCTGGATGTCCCAGCAGTGGTGGCATTTCTTCCTTGACTTTGTCCATGTTCCCAACAAACCTCTCAGCCCAATCCATGGCCCTGCAAACCTCTAAGCAGCCAATAGCCCCACAACAGGCAAATCCCCATCTTTTATTCCTCCTCTTTTCCCAAAAAGGGAGAACATCACCTGCCCTGGGTGAACCCTCTGACCACGAGGGTAGCAGAAGAGGGAGGTGGCTTTCCATACCTCCTGTGTCACTGCTCCATGGGATTGCTTTGAGGATTGAGCACTGAGGGTTGAGGATTGCTTTTCCTGGCCAAGAAAATACCAAATTGTCAGATTAAGCACTTTTCTGACCCAGAGATGGGGCAACTGAGAGGCATTTTAAAAACTGTTATTACATCTTCAGTCTCAAGTGAAGGGAAGACCATACAGATGTTATAATTCATGCCATCACAATCAGAAGCCAATTATTTAAGAATTTCTTGCCCTATCAGCTTTAGCCACACCATGCTGTAAATGCCTTAAAGCCAATCATCTAAAATTACCCCTTGTGGGTCCCACTACAATGCATCTTTCATAGTTCTATTTCTCTAAAGTACTTAGTATTTTTTGCAAAGCCAAAGGAATTTAAGAATTTTCTACAAATCCACTTCCCACACCAAATAAGGCAAGAACAGGAGTGTCTAGCCTAGCAGTTAAGCAGCTCTTGTCTCAGAGCAAGACCCCACGTGCCTTTGCAGGTTTTCCAAGCTGGCTGACGGCATGGAAGATGCAGAACCCCAGAACACGGAGTCAGGAAACTACAGTTCCTTTCTCAAAAAGAAACTTGAGATCATCAGCAAACTTTTCCTCAACTCTGACATCCCCCCCAAGCTGAGGGTGAGACATCAGGACCTGCCCAGGAAGGCTGCTCATTGCTCAAGGCCAGGGCAGCACAGCTGGGAACAGTGGTGGGGAAAGAGGAGGAGGGTCTGGATCTGCTGGGGGGGATTTGGGGCGTGCTCTGGAGCTTGGGGCTTCCACATGGGCTGGGAGGGGCGGGAAGCAGTCCCCCAGCAGGCCCTGATAAATTGAAAACAGGCATGTGGATAAGGATGGGGAAGATGGGGATGGTTCTCCAGCATTACCTGCTGGAGAAATGCCAGGCCTGGAGTGCCAGGATGGTGCTGCACATCACCAATCCAATCCTTTCACTCCTCAGAGGCCACTGTCATCACTATCCCCTCCCATTGCACCCACCCCAGTAGCTCTGCCATCTCCCCTTTGGAAGGCACAATGGTTCCCACAGAAATCCAGGTGGGATCCTGCCCTTGTGCTGGCATTCCAGGATGGAATTTGGGTCTGTGCTTAGAGACTGCTGAGGTGGGGTCAGGCAGAGAAACCTGGCCCCATCTGAGACATAAACTTCAAAGAATTTAGGGATTTTATAGGAGCTGAGGTTTTAATTAGAGAGAAGCTTTACTGGAGTTAATCAAAATCAATGGGTAGGTCTTGATGAAGTTAAGAGTGAGTAGTTAACTAATAATTGATTGCTTGTCAGCATAATGTTTGGTTAGCTGGGTTTATAATGAAGAATATAGAAACTGATAAATAACTTTTAGGAACATAAGACTATTGTTTTTAGGAACATAAGACAATTGGTTTTAGGAGCATAAGACAATTGTGGCCTCCTCTGTTCTGAAACCAATTGAAGATGGGGAATAGGAGTTCTACCAAGGGTTCATTTGTCATATTTGCATTGAAAAGGTGGAAAGGTCAGAATGAGGAAGACTTCATTTACTTCCTCATTTTGGGATCCCTCCCCATGAAAGGGACCACCAACCCATTTCAAGGAACAAACTACTCATGCTTAATAGCTTTTGAACTAATTACCATACGGAGTGGGGAATGGGATGTACCAAAGTCATGAACATTTATTTGTATTTTGGGTATTCAATACTTGTATAGATAAAAGGACTCTGTAATCACCTGTAAATTGAGGCGTATATTTGGGACCTATCCCACAATAAACATCCACTTTCCAACTTTAAACTGTTAGAGAGTTTTTTTCTGTCACAATTGGACATCGGTACTAGATCAATATCCATATTTCTAATAAATCACATCAGGAGTGCTGCAAAGTGCTTTGCTCTCCTCTGTGCCCAGGTGAACATCTCTCAGAAAGACAGGGATTTCATCTGGCGTTCATCCTCCAAGGGGCCGCTGACCCGGGCCATCTACCACAACGCCAAGGTCACCCTCTTCCCCATCCTGATGTTCTTCTGGAGAAGGTACCTGTCCATCCCCTCTCTGCCCAGGGGGAGGAGGCTCTGGGCATGCCACCCTGTATCTCCAGCCACTTCTTCCTCTGCCACCAGGGAGGTTCCCAGGGAGGAGTTCTGGGTGTGGAGAGGGATCAGGGAGGCTCCCAGGGAAGAATTCTGGGCATGGAGAAGAACCAGGGATGCCCCAGGGAGGAGTTCTGGCCACAGAGAGGGATCAGGGAGGTTCCCAAGGTGGAGTTTTGGCCATGGAGAGGGATCAGGGAGGTTTTCAGGGAGGAGTTCTGGGCATGGAGAAGAATCAGGGATACTCCCAGGGAGTAATTCTGGGCATGGAGAGGGATTTGGGATGCTCCCAGGGAAGAGTTCTGGACATGGAAAGGGACCAGGGATGCTCCCAAGGGGAAGTTCTGGGCACGGAGAAGGATCAGGGATGCTCCCAGGGAAGAATTCTGGGCATGGAAAGGGTGACCAAGGGTGAGCTGAAAATGCAAACAAGAACCTCCCCGGGAGCTCAGCTGGAATTGTCTCCTTGGAGCTTCACTGCCCCCGCTGTTTCTCACACAGGTTCTGCACCTGGAAGGTGATGAGGACCTTTCAGGCCTACCAGGAGCTGAGCAGGTTTGGGACCCTTGAGGAGGAGGAGGAGGAGAACTCTGAGCTCCCTGATGAGGGGGACAGGAGCTCTCAGGAGGCCAAGGGAGGCAGGAGCTCCAAGGCCAAGGCCCAGCAGCAGGACAGGAGCTCCAAGGCCCAGCAGCAGGACAGGAGCTCTCAGGAGCCCAAGGGAGGCAGGAGCTCCAAGGTCCAACAGGAGAAGAGCTCTCAGGAGCCCAAGGGAGGCAGGAGCTCCCGTGGCCGCAAGGAAGGCAAGGTTCCAGCCTCTTCACCTGCAAAAAGCCCCTCCAAAGCAGCCAAGAGCCCTGGTCCCAAGAAGCTGGAGGCCATTGCCTCTACTACACAACATGCTCCAGGTTTGTTCTTCCAGTGCAGAAACACCCAGACCTGACATCTTTTAGGTTGACCCCCTCCTTCACACAGCTTTGAGGGTGTATGTGCTGCAGGCCTGCTGGGGAAATGGAATAGAATATTTTTATTTTTTTTTCCCCGTCAAAATCAGTCAAAACTGTCCAGTGGGATTTTAGAAATTTTCTTTGGTGAATAGGGAAGTGAGCACAGAGACTTCCTGTGCAAAGAGCTGTTGCATAATTCCTATTTATTTCAATAGCCAAGTTAAAAATAGTCAGGCACACCCCCTGCAACAGAAATAAAAACCCCCAATCTTTTTGGGCTGCAAGTCAAATGCAGGGAGCAGGAAAAGGAGAACAACTGTGCAGCCAAACACCAGGCATTCCATAGAGGGTGCTTGGAATATCTGGAGTGGAGAATAAGCTCCATCAGGGTTTCAGGTGACATCTCCAGGGAAAGAAATGTTTTTTCCTTCCTCATCCCCTTGTTTAGTTTTGATACACTGAATAACTCTAAACTGGAAAACACAAAGTGATGCTGAGCGCTGTCAGTCTGCCTGACAGCCCTCTCCTTGGCTTGAATATTCATTTGGAAATTGTCTAATTGATTTTTGATTAAAGGGGAAACCAAAATAGGCACATACTAATCCTGCTTTGACGGATGAGTGGGCGTCAGCAAGCTGCTGCTCTGCTCCCCTGTCATTTATCACTGTCGAGTTCTGGCTAAAAAGCAGCAGAGTTCGAGGATTTGGATGGCTCCAGGCAGGTGTTTGAGCTCCTGCTCCCCAGCAGGGCTGAGGTGACACAGCCCTGTGCCCCAGGAATGCCAGGCCATGTCCATAGCTCCCACCACCTCACCCCCTGGCTATTCCCATGGAAAACATCCACTCTTCAGCTTGGGTCTCCACCTTGTTACAGAGGTCTTCCAGGACCTTCTCAAAAGTCGTTGTTTTAATGCCAAAGTCACAAAGAAAAACCTCATGTATCACAGATGTATTCCAAGGCAGAAACCTTGTGTTACAGTGCAGTTATCCAGTGTTTGCAGGTTCTCCAGGGAGCAGAGAGAGTGACATTCAAACAGATTCAGATCAGAGATAGGGAGTTGGTTTTTACACTAGAGGGTGGTAAAACACTGGTTTAGGTTGTCCAGAGAAGCTGTGGCAGCCCCATCCCTGGGAATATTCAGGATCAGGTTGGATGGGGCTCTGAGCAACCTGATCTAGTGGGAGGTGTTGGGGGCTGCACGAGATGGCCTTGAAAGGTCCCTTCCAACACAAATTATTCTGTGTTTAAATCAGTGCAAGGCTTGGGGCAGTGCCAAGCAGCACAGCCCATGTTTAACAACAGCCACAGAGTGACTGCACTGGACACACAGAAAAGACTCTGATCCATCCAGGATGGACATCAATCCCACAGGGACAACACTCCCCAAGCCACCTCTCCTTGCTGCATCTCACAGGGATAAGTGAGACTTGGGGTCAGAAAAAACAGGAACATTTTTAACAGCAGCCAGGCAGGAAAAAACCCCTCAGCTTGCCTGGCATGTAGGGGACAAGATGTGTGACCCAAAATAGCTGCTGTGTCTGACTGTGCTGATGTCCAGACACTTTTCTGCACATTATGCTTCCACCAATGACCTTTCTTTAAGGGTCTTGGTTTTCTAACCTTTAGGTAAAAATTTTTCCTTTAGGTAAAACTTTACCTTGAGGTAAAAACATTACCTTTAGGTAAAAACTTGCTTTTGAGCTGTCATTAAAAAAAATTAAAGTTGCCTTTGTTGCCTTTTAAAAAGCACTGAAATTGCTGGGGAAAACACCTGTAAATGCAGAGAAAACCTCCTCTCCTCTTATTTTGAGGGTTGTGCAGACATGGTTTGAGCAGGGCTGGGTGGTGACAGGCAGGGACCCATCTGCCATCACCAACATCACTGTCCTCAGGGCACTCCTGGGACAAACTTCCCAGGCAGGCACAAAGCCTGGCACACCTTTCTATTTGTAGAAAAATTCTTTTTCCACTTTGTTTTCTCAGTCATCCACGGATGTGGTTCAGAATGCTTCAGCTTGGCAGCTGAGAAATGCATAAGCTGAATTAGTAAACAGTGTCCAAAGAAAATTTGAGGACAAACCTCCTAATGAGCCTGTATTTAAAAGAAAAAAATTAAAAATATTATTTTTTTAAATAATATTTTTTTAATAATTAAAATAATTTAAAATCTCCCATTTCTGCCACCCAGCCTTGCCACAGAGCCAGGGTGGGACATGTCACCCCCAAATTGTTTCAATGTCAAGTCCTTGCTCAGCCATCCTTCCTTGTGCTCTGGGTAACCTCAAATAATTTGAGGGGGACACCAGTGCTGTCCCCCCTCTTTTGCCACCAGAGCACTGCATGTTTCTCCCCTCACCAGGTAAAAAGGCTCTCCTTTCCTACAACATGTCAGATGGCCTTGGGCTCCTGCTACCACGGCCCCCAAAGAAAACTGAGCCTCCAGAGGAGCAAAAAGGTGAGGAAGCACTGAATGGAGCTGAATAGAGCACTGAATGGAGCCCTCCTGCTCCTGAGGGCTGTGGGGATGGCAGCTGGGCTGGAGGGCTCCCTGCAGCAGCCCTGGTGAGAACTTTGTGCTGTTCTTTCCCTCAGCTGCAGATGCCAGTGGGGAGAAGAGGCCCTCGCTCACTGAGCCCGCCCTGCAGGCTGGGTAGGTGCTCCCAGGGGTGCTCTCCTCCTCCAGAGCCCAGCAGCACAGCCTGTGGTTCCCTTGAATCACAGGGGATGGTGCAGGATGCTGGGCAGCCCCACCAGCTCGAGAAACAGCCTCTCAAACTCCCAGATGCTGCACAGAGTCTCTGTGCCCAGAACTCCTCCCTGGGACCATCCCTGATCCCTCTCCATGGCCAGAACTCCTCCCTGGGAACCTTCCTGATCCTTCTCCATGCCCAGAACTCCTTGAGAGCCTCCCTGGTCCCTCTCCATGGCCAGAACTCCTCCCTGGGAACATCCCTGATCCCTCTCCATGCCCAGAACTCCTCCCTGGGAACCTTCCTGATCCTTCTCCATGCCCAGAACTCCTCCCTGGGAGCATCCCTGATCCCTCTCCATGGCCAGAACTCCTCCTTAGGAACATCCCTATTCCTTCTCCATGCCCAGAACTCCTTGAGAGCCTCCCTGATCCCTCTCCATGGCCAGAACTCCTCCCTGGGAGCATCCCTGATCCCCCTCCATGCCAAAACTCCTCCTTGGGAGCATCCCTGATCCCCCTCCATGCCAAAACTCCTCCTTAGGAACATCCCTGATCCCTCTCCATGCCAAAACTCCTCCTTGGAAGCATCCCTGATCCTTCTCCATGGCCAGAACTCCTCCCTGGGAGCATCCCTGATGCTCCCCTATGCCCAGAACTCCACCCTGGGAACCTTCCTGATCCCTCTCCATCCCCAGAACTCTCCCTGGGCACACACAGGGCCCTGTGCTGCTCCCTGATCACCCTCACCTGCCTTCAGCACCAGCAGCCACTGATGCAGCATCTCTCCCTTCCCTGCAGGCCCTAAGGGAAGCTCAGCCCTCCCAAAACAACACCCACACAGGTGTGATCCAAGGAAGCCTGGACACAGGGAATTGTTTGCACCCAGCAAGAAGAAACCTAAAAATAAAGCAACTGACAGCATCCTCCAGCTTACCTGGTGGCAGCACAGCAGCTCACAGCTCACAGCCCTGGCAGGGAGGTGCTGTGACAAACGTTTGCAGCTGAAACACCACACAAATCTCCCTCCTCACGTGGATCTGGGAAATGCACCTCAGCTCCTCACCTTCCCACACAAGTGAAATACTTCCTGTGGGTAGCAAGGCTGAGAGAGCCCATTTGGTTCACTTAGCTGGGTGCTGAGATGGGGCCTGCTTTGCAAAAGCCTTTCTGAATTTCCAGCAAAAATCAGCTCCTGTCTGACTGGGGCTTCAGCATGCTTTTTTTTGTGAGGTTTGGGGTTTTGGGGTGGGTTTGTTTTTGGTTTTTGGGGTTTTTTTTAAGCCAGTGTGTGTTTACAAAGCACTACCCAAATCATAGCAAAGGTCTTAATTCTACCCAGCTGAAACTGAGTCAAAGTGACTTTGCCAAGTCACCAGGAAGCTGCAGAAACCACAAATATTCCTTGGACCTCGTGAAGAAAAGACCACAACCTTTATCAGTTTGTCAGAGGCAAGCTCTCAGCTTTGTCATTCTGAGCTATTTTTATCCACTTTTTAATCCCAGATCCTAGAAGAATCCATCCTGGGAATAACACCAGGTGCATTTGAAGGCAGAGGACAACATGTTTCATATTTATCAGTCCTGATTATCAACACTTTGCCTCTGGAGGATCAAAAATATCCAAACCCAAGAACATTTATTTAACTGAAGGGCCTGGGAAGCTGATACCATTCCTACAACACAAAATGTGACCAACTCTCAAACTGCTGTGCTGGAAGTTGATTTTGCCATGAAAGCTTCCAGCCCCAAAACCTTGCTCTGTTTTTGTGAGCTTTTCACCAAGCTCAGCTGAGCCCAGGCTCTCTAAGGCCTCACAGATGTGCCTGAAGCTCAGCACAGCAAAACCAAATCCTAAGAGCAGCAGATGAGCCACGGGGAGCTGGGAGCATCCCTGTGCACACAAGCATGTGCATCCTCAGCATGCCAGAGCCAGGACAGGCAGCACCTGAGCCCCCCACTGGGCTCAGCCAGCTGTCCTGGGGAGCCCCAGCAGAGGAGAAAGGCAGAGGAAGAGCAAATGCAGGCAGGACGGCAGGGCAATGGAGTGTGTGGGGTCAAATCACACCCCCGAGGCAAAGGCAGCACCTCTCAGATTGATGCTGGGACAGACCACAGCACTAATTTTGGCAGCTGGTTCTGCCCCCAGCTCCTCAGGACACCTCCATCCTTGGGCTGTGCCCCAGACATTGCCACACCACCAGCTGCAGCACTGCCCAGCAGTTTCCATCCTGCCTGGTGTCTCACTGGCCCATCCTCCTGGGAGAGGCAGCCTGGTGTTTTCCACAGAATTCACAGAATTAATGAGCTGGAAAAGACTTCCAAGGTCATCAAATCCAACTCAGCCCCAGCACCTCAACTAAACCCTGTGGCACTGGGTGCCACATCCAGGCTTTGTTAAACACACCCAGGGATGGGGACTCCACCACCTCCCTGGGCAGCCATTCCAGAACTTTATCACCCTTTCTGCAATATCCAGCCTGGATTTCCTTTGGTGCAGCTTGAGGCTGTGTCCTGTGGTTCTGTCAGTGCTGCCTGGAGAAGGAGCCCAACAGCTTTGCTCCCAGTCCTGCATCCATCCCTCCCATGGGTTGATGTGCAAAAAAATCCACAACCCAGGAAAACCCCTCAACCCATAACCACCTTGTTTGGGTGAGGAAAAGGCTTCTCCCAGCATGCCTTGCTGTGAGATGCAGATTTCATGTATCCCATTGGTCCTTCCACCCCTGTGCCCTCATCCCATTGGCCCCGGTGTTCTGCTCCGCCCCTCAAAATCCATATATAAACTCCTGCTTTCCATCTTTTGAGTAGCTCTTCATTTCTGGACTCTTATGATGAAAAAGCTTCATAAAGCTCTCTTTGGAACCCCACAGGAAGAGCTGAAATGATCCAGTGTGAGCACAGATGTGTCTGTGCCGCCGAGGTGTGTTTTTCAAGAAGCTTCTTCAGGAAAGCTGTGTCACTGATGCTCCAGGAGCAGTCTGCTCTGCAGATGCTGTGCATGGATCAGCTCTCTTCTCTGACACCAGAACAGAGCACAGGAACAATCCCTGGAAATTCTTCCCAGCAGCCAGATCACCCCAGAGAGATAAATCCCAGCCTGGCTGGGTTTAGTCACTGCTCTGTTCTGTAACAGCAGAACAACAAAATCTTGTGCCAGCTCCTAGTGCCTCCCCAGCCAGGGTGCCCTTTTGCACCTGCCACAGCAGGATTCTCCCCTCAATGACATGAGGACAGCAATGAAATCACCATATCCCTTAAAATATAGCTCAGGTGCTTTCTTGAAGGGTTTCAGTTGGGATGGATTCTACGTAGGACCAAAATAAAAAGTAGATTTTCCCACAAGGGAAAATGCTGATCAAAACAGAGCCCTGACATTATTTCTTCACACTGGGACAATATGCAGTGATGTTTAAAGCACGTCAATGAAGTATTTGTATGGATCTCTTTTAAACACAGCATATTTTGTAGATGAGAATGACAAGAAGAAGTCATAATAGAAAACTCACTCATTTCTCACCATTAAGGTAAGTGCCTCAGCCACAGTGCAGGCTCATATGCTTATCCTGACCCAGCCCTTCACTGGAACAGCACAGTGATGGTAGAAGTTGCAAAGGTCACAGAAAGCAGGAAATGTGGCATTTTACAGGAGGCTGGAGGAGCCCAGCCCATGGCCTCACCTCTCTTCATTCAAGAGCAGAAATGCTGCCATGGCCCAGGGCACCCCATAGCCCCCTGCTCCCCCCACTGCTGAGACCTGGGCACCCATCCCGGCGTGTCCTCCTGCCTTCTGGGCATGAGAAACACACAATGAGCAAGAAAACAAACAAAAAAAAGAGCAGGGAGGAAGGGTAAAAAACCCAAAAATATTGGTGCAAGAGGAGCCAGCGTTCTCCAGGTTGCATTTTCTCATCAACAGCTGTGTAGTCAAACTTTCGTAATGTATTCAAGAGGTTCGCAGGACCCTCAGAAGGATCTTTGCTCCAAGGCAGGAGCACTGATGCAGCACTGGTGGTTTGACAGTGCTGCAGAACCTCTCTTCATGTGCAGAGGGGATGGGGGAACCTCGTTCCTAAAGGAGCGTAGAGTCAGTTTTTTATTTGAGTTTATTTCAAGTTTGTTTCTGCATGGGGTCATTGAAAGATCAATGATCGGAGTTTGGGAAAAAAAAACTCACAAAAAACAAAAAACAAACAAACAAAAAAATGCCCCAAAAAACAAAGAAACCAAACCAACAAAGAAAAAACAAACAAACAAACAAACAAAAAGCCTGCCCAAAAATGAACAAACCACCAAACAAAAAAACCACAAACAAACAAACAAAACCACACCGAAAAAAAAACCAAAACAAAAAACCAACAAAAAAAACTCTAAAAAAAAAAAAAGAAACACCAAAAAAACCCCACAAAAACCAACCTTTTCAACACCTGAAAAATATTTCCATAAGCAACATACAATCACAGTGCAAATCACAGCATCCAAAGCTCGTGGTTGTTAGACCAGACTCTTTGGAATTTTTCCTAATTCAAGTCCTCCATACTCTGTCCCTGGATGTGCTTTATCCCATCTCCTTACCCCCACCTCTTCAGCTCTTTTTGAGGTGAATAAATAAGAAATAAAAGGAGTGATGGTGGATCAGACATGGGGCAGGAGGCAGTGCCATGCTATAGAGAAGGCTCCTGGAAGTCTGCGAGGTGGCTGTACCTGGGGTTCTGCCGTAAGCTGTTGTACACATACATGGTGAGTTCTGGGAAAGTCTCCAGGAAATACTCAGCATAGTCTCCTATTTTGTTGGTGATCCTGAAAGAGAACAAAAGCAAACAGGATTTTTAAAGAGTGTCCAAGGGGAGGATGCCCTTGCAGAAAAAAAGCCATTCCAGAGAGGCTTTCTGATAACTTGGAGAGGTTTCCTAGAAATCCCAGAGCTGCAACTTTTCTACTCCTCAATCCTTTTTCCTTTTTTTTTTTTTTTTTTTTTTTCTGGCCAATGCTCCAACACCTCCATATCTGTCTTTCACTTTCATCTTGGGTAGATCTCTCAAGCATGTGGTGGGGATTCTTGGGCTTGTCCTGGCAAAGACAGGACTTGGTGATCCTTGAGGGTCCTCTCCAACTCAGGATATTCTCAGGATATTCTCTATGGCAGGGGCAAGGATGAGAACACTTACTTTTCATCTTTGTGTTCATCCATGTTTCTCATGAGCCTCAGCAGTTCGGTGACATTATTTCCGTATTTGGTAGGTTTTGCATTCCTGGGGTTTTCCATGACATGTAAAATATCTTTGTCAATCTGAAAGAAAGCACACAGATTATTCCCTGCCTTTCACACCCCACAAAACCCAATAGACTTCGAAGATTTGTCAGCCAACTTGAGAATGATCAACCCCTTTTATCACCCCAGTTAGCAGAGCTCCCTTTAGTATCAACATCCTCTGACTACATGCAAAACAATTCGACTGAATTGTTATTTCCAGTTGTCTGTATTTTGTGTGGGGCTACTTTTTCCAGTTCCATTTTTAAACACTCAGAAAATCTTCTACCTGAATGTCCAGCTCAAGCCTGATACCAACCCAAATTCAAGAGGATTACCGTCTTGGTCCACTGTGGATAAGGAAAAGCTTTCTTAGTGACATTAGGATCTTGAAAAATACTTTTTTGGTTTGGGTAATATTTGATTTTATTCCGTATACTCTTCAGGAAGTTGAACCTGCTGTGGGATGAGAAGCTTCATTAGCTGCAGTGGGATCTCCCAGTGGGATTTCCCAGCACTACAGGCAATTCCCACAGCAAAATTCCACCTCCTTTGTA